CGATTAAGAACACGTAAATTATTTAAACCAATAGGAATTTTACATAACATAACATAACATAACATAGNGTTCAGTGATGCCATCAGGCTGGAATTCTAAGAATGGAAGTTCACTTATAAAAAAGCTTTCCACCCAAGGTGAAAAGCTTTCCTTTGATACAGTGCTCTGCCATGTTACTGACTACAAATGTAAAGATAGATCATAAGTGGACAAATTGTTTCAATTGTATAGTACATCAGGTTTGTCATAGATTAATTTTGATGTCTCTTGTTTGATAGATATTTTTTATTTTTATCTTATTTATTGGATTTTTAGAAAATTTTCCAGGCCCTTTGTTCATAATGATCAAGTTTAAGTTAAGTATTTAGTTAACCAGTACTCTGAGTACTGTAGCACATATACCATATTTGGGGGCAGGGCTTATGGACACAACCAATCACAGGTTGAGAATTCTGTTCTGACCGCCAAAGCTGGGGTTGTGTTGTGCTGAGCTCCCGTGACGGAAGCCGGCTTCTGCCTACTGCCACGTCATCCGGTCATCGTTCTCAAAATTTTTAAGTGCCTATGGAATGGATGCTGTGCAGTGCTGACTCGCTCCAAGGCGTTGAGCCGGCAAAGGAGCTACTGGCTAAATAATATATGAACATCTATCAATGTTCCCTCCTCTCTGCATCCCACTGCAAAATGCTGTTCTGTTGAGGTGACTGGACTCACTGGAGAAAAACTTTTTGGATGGCACCTAGTCCTGAGTGGCTTTGCCTGTTTGCCAGCCCGCGCAGTGTGGAATTCTGTATGGGTAATATATTTTCATGTTAACATAAGAATATGAATCAAAAAACCTACCTGAAACACCTTCCACCGCTGCACGGCTGCACCGCAGTGTCAGTTCGGAACTGACAGTTCCATTTCCAATATCTTGCGTGGTTCAAAATCCTTATTTTATTATATCCTTATCAAACAAATAACAAATTTTTGCAATTAATATAATAATATGTTAATGAATAACACATCTTGAAAAACTTTATCAGGGATTAAAAAATTAGATCAGTAGAAGGACAGTTTATTGAGCGATGAAATATGTGATGTGCATTGCATCAAAAATGTATGATGAATATCATAGCTTGGTATCCTCCCCAAATCCGGTAGCTGTGGCAGGGACCTCTGCCGCTGTTAGGTAAGCAGTGGGCCAGTGCTCCCGCTGCAGTCCCAGGCAAAGTTTCAAGAGATCACAGCACCACATGCTGTCGTCTGGAGTCCACGTGTTTGCACCGAAGAATGGGCACGGCCAGCGGTCCACGTCTCACGCCCAAGGCAGGAGGACGATTGATGGGGGATGAGTCTAGTAGAGATGAAGCATCAACTGAAGTCCACAGAAACTTCAAGCGGGGCCACACTGGACAAGAGCGTCACCACACAAAATTGCAAAGCACAGATGAGAACTTGAGAAGTCCAGCATAAGTGACAGACCGCTATAGACTGGCGAATCTTCTTACAAGAGGCTGAAGATAGTTTCTGTTGTATTCAGGTGTGCCCTGGAATACTTAAGGGGAGCGTCTAGGGTAAAATTTATCTCGGCTATTCACAGACCGATCACTTTGAAACTTGGTACACATATGTAAAACAGAATTCTAAGACATTTTTGTTCGTGTGAATTTTTCGAAAAAAATGAAAGAAAACGTGAAATTCTTAGAAAACGGCCAAAAAAGGGGGTACCGTAGAAATCTATCTCCTCCTAGGATTTTCAAGCTACCACATCGAGACACATATCATTCGATGCGTAAAGACCATATCTAAAACTGATGGCAGCGGTTTTTTGGATTTCTAATTTTTGTGGGAGTGGGAGCATTTTTCGTGAATTTTTCGAAAAATTTTCGATTTTCCCCCCCGCCACCCCCCTTTTTGCGGAATAAAATCCAAACTATAACGAAATTAGAAAAAAGCCTGCCATCCGTTCTAGATAATTTTGTTGCGCATCGAATGGTATATGTCTCATTGTTGTAGCTCAAAAACTCTAGGAGGAGATAGGTTTTCCGTGACAATAAGTGTGAATGTTGAGGAGAGCCCGACAAAGTCCCGAGCGCACTGCAATAGGCGCTCAATGTAGCATAGATACCAAACTAAACGTTTCTGGATCTTGATTCCACTCAAGGATGATGGGAGCAACTACATGCGCATCTCTCCCTACAAAGCCCGGAGGCACACAGAGTCAGACCTCATAGAAACACTGTATTTGTAGTGCTGGGCAGCGAATTAGCTCCTATGTAATTACTGAAAGAACTCTCCCCCCGCCCTCCTTTCATGAAGTGTCGTGAACGTACAAATCAACGTACAGAGATGGTAATGGTACCGTTGGATAGGCCAGAATGTCAGCTTTAAGATGAGACTAAACACGTAACTGCAGCACAACTCAAGTAGACACTATACTTAAAGAGCTCAGCAGCTAATTAGTTCCTATCTAATTACTTAAAGAACTCCCCCATCCGCCCCCCTTTCATGAAATGTCGTGAAATCATAAATCAACGTACAGATATGGCAGTGGTACCGTTGGATAGGGCAGAATGTCAGCTTTAAAATGAGTATAAAAACCGAAAAAGTGAAAATTTTCAATTTTAGGGTAGACGCTCCCCTTAATTCTCCAGGTGAAATTGTGGTTGGAAAATGTGGCATGAAGTGGCACAACGACACAGATGCAGTATACTGATACAGATGCTGTTAACTGATATTCAAGACATTTAAAGTTGAGGCTTTTACCAAAGTGGAGATCGTGAAAAAGATTCTGCATAAAGTTATGCAAATAAACTACATGAATTTTAATTCTTTAACAATACATCAACTTGCACAGAAAATCGTCACAATTTCCCCAAAGTTCTTGAAACCACACAAAAAGATGGGATAAACTGCTAATCTTTCACAGCATAGTGTCAAAGCACTGAAAGCAGATAGTTTTTTAGACTTTCTCTCAAGTTCATTTATGAGTCCTATAAGTAAACCAGTACTAAAGTATCATAGATACTTTACTAAAATTATTTTTCACGGTGTATGGGTACATTGTCTTTGTTCTGGTCTTGTCAAGTTTGATTTTAAACTTAAATCATTTTTTGCCTCAAATAACGATGTTGTGTAGAAAAAGTGGTCTTGGTGGATCGAAATAATATATGAACCTTCAAAATTAGAATTCCATCCTGCTCTAATATCATATTATTTCAGTAGGTATGAAATCTCGCAGCTTGAATGTCATAAATTTTTGTTTGATTGAAAAATCGCGGTTTGCACTTCACAAACGTGTCACTTCATAAAATTTTCAACTTCCCCAATCTGCATTGCTTTACTGTTCCCGCCAAAATATCCTGCAGAAAAAAAAATAAATATCGTAATGTAAACAAATAAACTAAACGCTTTGTTATAGATTGCGCATAGTTGCAGTCCTGTCAAAGCGGCTAGACTGCATTAACACATGCTCAACTTACAGTAAAGACAAATTTTATTGTTGCCATTTGACTGTTTTGGGGTAAAACTAGAGATTTGGGGTTACACGTGCATGGACTTTGTAAATAAATTCGCGCCTCGTAAATGGCTTTTCATGATCGAGATATGAAATTCACGGCTTGGTGAAATGGAATCACGGCTCAAAGAAATGGAATCACGGCTGGCAAATCCATAAAACCATGGCTCAAAAAATTCAGTCGCGGCTCACCAAGTAGATATATTCCATGCCTGTGGGTACATTGTGGTGCCATGTAAATATTCATCAGAACATTCTTTGTTCTGGTCTGGTCAAGTTTGATTTTACAATTACTAGATTTAATCCACATTCCACACTGAGAATCTGAGATTTAAATGATGGAAAGTTGTTTCGAAATTTAAACACCTATTGATATGCTTCCAGATATGAATTTTTCCATGTTTTTTGCCCTATTATGTCAAATTTGTCTTAAAAACTTAACTTAAATTTCTGAATGATTTTGTCTGCGATTGCAAGTTTTTGAATGTTTTGTGTCTTTCAGAAAATGCTTGTTGTTTAAAAGGGTGCAACTATTGCATTATATAAAACATTGAGCATGTACCATGAGGTGTATTAATTATTCAATTTAATTTAGTAAAAATAGATTTTCAATTTGAAAAATTTAATCAGAATTTTTAATTCAATATTTTTTAATAGAATTTAATTTTACAGCATGTACAGCATCTAAAATATTAAATAATCAAATTTAATTTAATAAAATGTAATTTTAATTCAATTTTTCTTAATTTAATTCTACAGCTTCAACCGTTAAAAATGATCATAAGATCAAAGGTAAAATTGTCATTCATACACCCCAAATCAAATTACAATTTAAATGAATTTAATAGGTGTATTAATAATCCCATTTATATATAGGAATGAAAATGTCACTTCTATTTCAGAATCTGTTCTGGAATACATTTGTGAAACTACCATAATACTTCCTGTAAATACTGTAACTGTAATACTATAGTACTACTTACATACCATAATATTACTGAATTTATATCACTTGTTTGCTTAAATCGCAAATTAACTAAGAATTTAAAAGCAAAGAATGTCCACAAAAATTCATATCTTTATAGAAAACGTTTCGGAGACCAGCTCCATCGTCAGTTCATAGAATCTAGAATCACAAGTCAGAAGTCACAAATTAATATATTGAAAGCACAGAACAAAATTAAAAACCTAAATTTACAAGTAATAGACGGAGCAAAAAAAAAAACTATCTATTAACAATTTCAAGGGGATAGGAGCTAGCAGCTGAATTCAAACTGGGCCTAAGTTTAAAGATGTACAGCGATTCTAAAATGNTCTGATTTGTGATTCTAGATTCTACGAACTGACGATGGAGCTGGTCTCCGAAGCGTTTTCTACAAAGATATAAATTTTTGTGAACTTTACTTTGCTTTTAAATTCTTAGTTAATTTGCAATTTAAGCTAACAAGTGATATAAATTTATTACAAATATTTTTAGATTGCCCTATGTGTGGTTAGTGCCCCTGGGTTTGTGGTTGGTTACCCCAGGTGAGTGGTTACGGTAGTCTGTTAGTGCTGAGATGACTGGAGAATAAGTTTTTTGGATGGCACCTAGTCCATAATTTTTTCTACATGCTCTCCAAATTACAGGGTGATGCAATAAGGAACCAAGTATTTAAATTAACCAGTTTTAACTTAGTCTTGCAAGATAAAATGAATATTGCTGTTGAAGGCTGTAGCCATGGTGAACTGGATGTCATATTTGCTGCTGTTGAGCATGCAAAGCAGTCATCTGGTCTGAGCATTGATCTTCTTATTTGTTGTGGGGATTTCCAATCTGTCCGCAATCTTGGGGACCTGCGATGTATGGCCGCTCCCATCAAATACCTCAACATCCAAACCTTCTATAAGTAAGTACAAATGAGAAATGGAAGGCATAAAGGATATTTATAAAGGACTGTTCATTTAATATTAAGGACTGTTAATTTTTCATTCATTTTATTTTGATCTCAATCATTCATAGTATGGTACATATGGTTACAGCCAAATTACTTTGCATTTTGGTATATATGAAAATTGATTTTTACACTTACAAATTTTTATCTTTGTTTTGTGTTAAAAATTGAACTGACCTGGGTAACCCAAAGATCTGGCCTCTCATCAATCCTTTTTAATCTTTGCTTGCATTACATACTACATATCAGACCCACCAGACAACATACACATGTTATTATGTGCCAAAGATAAATTTTAATCAACACAGACCAACATATATATACACATGCTCCACACAAGTACAATCTTACATCACACAGCTAGAGGGCTGGCCATATGTATTTGCATCATAAACTCAATAATCTGGGTTAAGTTTTGAAAATTGAGCACTAATTTCCTAATTAGGCAGAAATAGGTAAGTTTTTTTTTTTAATGTCACAAATCTGGGATTTTCAAGAATTTTCTGATTCAATAATGGATTTTGTATCAAGAATTTTGACACAAGAATTTTCTGATTCAAGAATGGAAAATTGTTGCTTGAGATCTGTGCACATAAAATAATCCTGGTCAGATTATAAATTTTTAAAAATAAATCAATAGGTATATCATGTTGTTTGCTTGATGTTCATAGCTAATCAACAGCTTGAAAACAGACTATAAAACAGTGAACAGTACATATGTTGGATTTTATTCCCTTGTTTTTTCTAATTCTCATTGTTCAATAAATTTCATTTTAAAATCTAACAATATTGGTTCGAAGACAATATGCATCTATTATGCACATTTGCATAAGAAATGAAGCTGTGTTGGAATAGGTAAGAAAACACAGCTTTATTATTAATACTCTAAATTTTTACTACCCTTCAGGTACTACAGTGGTGAGAAGGTAGCCCCTGTGCTGACCATTTTCATTGGAGGCAATCATGAGGCCAGCAATTATTTGCAAGAATTACCATATGGGGGCTGGGTGGCTCCAAACATCTACTTCCTTGGTTATGGCGGAGTGATAAATGTTGGTGGCTTGAGAATTGGGGGAATATCTGGCATATACAAAGGCATTGACTACCTCAAAGGGAGGTATGAGCGACCTCCTTATACAGAGTCCAGCATTCGAAGTGTCTATCACGTTAGAAATTTGGAAGTGTTCAGAATGAAGCAACTGGATAAGACAGCTGCTCCTCTTGATATTTTTTTGTCACATGACTGGCCAAGAGGAGTCACCCAATTTGGGGATGCTAACAAGCTGGTCAGACAGAAGCCATTCTTCAAGGATGAGGTGGAGAGCAACACCTTGGGTTCCAAACCTGCACAAGAGCTCTTGCATTATCTACAACCTCGATATTGGTTTGCTGGACACTTGCACATCAAGTTTGTAGCCTTAGTAGATCATGGTCAAGCCCCAAAAAGCAGTGAATTCAACGAAGGAAAAAATTGCCTTGAATCTCAGAGGTTCACAAGGTTTATTGCTCTTGATAAATGCCTGCCAAGGCGAGAGTTTCTACAAGTCTTAAATGTCAAGTGTGGACTGCAACACAGGCACCAGAATTTACAGATGGAAACCTCATCCCCATGTCATGAATCAGAAATGGAGTCATCAGAGAAAATGCAGAAAAAACAAGAAACACTGTATTCATATCCTCTGCATGATGATAATGGTTGCATCCAGCTCTATCATGATCTAGAATGGCTCACAATTCTGAGATTAACTGACCATTTACTTCAGGTTACCCCTAATGCTGTGTACATGCCAGGCCCTGGAAACTCCTCTGAACGCTTCAATTTCACACCTACACAAGAAGACCTTGAAGAAACTTTAAAGTTGATGAAGAATGATTTGAGAATCTGTCCTGATCAATTTTGTAGAACTGCTGATGCATTCAATCCTGAGAGTGATGCACTGCTGATGGAACACATAGCAACTGTAGAGCAGCCTGAACCAGTCATGAATCCTTTCACTGCCGAGCTGTGTGAGAAGTTACGTATCAGGGACCCAATGGCTGTTTTGCTCAAGTGTGCTCATGGCAAGAGCCCTTTTGTTCTTAGGACCCCAAAGAAAGGTTGCAGTTCAGACGTAAATGAATCTTTGGACAGCTCCAGACTCACCTATGATGATGTGAGGCACTGAATTATAACTTTAATTTTTGTTGGATTCTGTGCTGAAGTTAAGTCTAGTACTAAACAAAAGTTAGGAAGAACATTGGTTGTAATTTCATAAATGCTTGGGCTTGTTAGCTGATCAGACACATTGACATACTCTGTTTAAATGTGCATATTTTTTCCATGTGTAATTCAATCCAACTCTATCACTTGAATTGTTCAGATGACCCTCCTTAGCCCTAATTGGGAAATTACTAATAAAGAGTATTTGCATGTCACTCCAAAAAGACATTTTTCATGAAAATTTGACTAATTTTATCATCAGTTTACACTTTTGGAGCGTATTTTTCTAAGACCACTCACAATGAAAATGCTGATGCTTCATCTCTATGATGTTGCAGTTCCTGTGACGTTATTGTGTTATAAAGTATGGTAAAAAATATCCCAAAGCATTGCAACAAAATCAGCTTGTGCTACTACTGTGACTCCAATATTATATTTTATTGAGTGCAAAATATATTGATTTTTGTAGACATTTGGTAATAATTCCTCCTCTGCTGTGCAGCCTGGTAGTGACGTGGATTCCAGTTCAGGAGATATAGTGTTTGAAGTCTCAATTAGCAACAACAATGATGGAACTGCTGAAGGCACACTGAGTCCTGCTCTTAATCCAGCCAGGTTAGTTTGATTCTGTTAAATAAGATGAGGATCTAAACTCTTATACTCTATTACTCTGTTTAATGTGCTACTATAATATGCTTGTTACCCCTGCACAAATGTCAACATTGAGGTGTGTGGCGCAATTAAAACTCAAATTTAATGTATTTTCTTTCATTCGATGTACTGTAGTTGAAAATTATGCATCGTTATTAAATATTGTGTTAAATCTCGTTAAAATCCTGGGGATGGGAAGAGGTGCATCATTGTTAGAAATGTGGCTGCATAGAAAATTAAAAGAAAGTCGTCCATTTTATTTGCATTACTAGCACTGTTTAGGAAGCTTTCAGGAGATACACAGTGCAAAAACCTGCTAACAGATGCTATCACACAGCATGGATTTAAACTTCTGAACTAATCTGGATTTTGGTTTTGAAATGCAATGTTTAGACTTCATTAACTTGCAATTCGATCAAATACAACAAAAGTTATAATGAATGACTTTTCATGGTTCAAAGAAGATGTGAATATTATGTAGTAGTGTATTGCACCATATTAAAAAGAAAAATGAACAACCCTATGATGCCTGCCCCCTCAGGCATCATATTGTTGCCTTGATTTTCAGAATTTTTACATTTTTCCTGAACTCATTACGCAATGTAATTGATAATTAACCACCTCTTTTGGATGACCTAAAAAAAGGTAATTTAATACATAGGGATGAATTTATCTTTTGCATCAAGTCACTACTTGGGGTTGGTAATTTTTATACTCTAATGAAAGCATAATAACTGTACTCTGCCACAAAATTGTCAATATTTGCCTCAAATTATTGCAAACAATTGACAAGTTCATCATTGCACCTGTGGCCCTAGCTACAAAGTGGTTATGGAGGGAATTCAAAGTGGTAAAAAAATTAAATACTGTAGGAAAAAAATTCTAATGCATAAACATCAGGTGTATCCATAATATAGCAGCTGTGCATGCTTAATGTAAAGAAGTAAGGCACTTCCTTCCAGCAGTGAAACTAAGCTGATGACCATATATCTTCCTATCACTATTGGACTGATCTTCTTTGCACAACGCTTCCCTGTACTGTTCTCTTCCTGTACTTCCCTGTACTATACTCTCCCCGCTGTACTATATTTCCATTGCAGAGCTGTGCCACGCCGTGCTCTGGTCCTGGGAGCTCCTCAGAACACCGCAGACTCTGATTCTGAATTTCCCTGCTCTGCCAACTCAGCTGAGGCAAAGCCTTCTTCCTCTGCATCGCCTGCCACCGATTCTACTTCTGCCGCGGGTCAGTTTCTTAAAATGAATCGTTAAGTTGCGACAGAAACTGTTTATGAATCACAACTCCGAGGTGTGGCTGGGAAGTGTAGAGACCGTGGAGACCAGCTGCACTGCAAGACGATAGAAACTGCAAAGCCTGGTTTGAGCCAGGAAAGACATCCTGACTAATGCATACCCCACTGCCCCCTCCATCAAGACACCCTGACAAATGCATACCCCACTGCCCCCTCCATCAAGACATCCTGACGAATGCATACCCCACTGCCCCCTCCATCAAGACACCCTGACAAATGCATACCCCACTGCCCCCTCCGTCAAGACATCATCCCTCAAGACATCCTGACAAATGCATGCCCCGCTGCCCTCTCCATCAGTCACCGCTTTTTTGTACATTAATATCGTTCCGGTGGTGTGCCAGCCTCCATATTCACGTGATCTAGGCTCCTGCGACTGTAAACAACTAAAATAAGTCTTCAGATGACATTCAGGACATTACCAATCTTCTTGAAGTGTGTAAGACAAGTATGCTGAAGACCGTACAAGGCCTTCAGCGCTGCTTAAAAAAAGCAGAAACAATTCCATTAGCTGGTGTAGCTGCCTAGGGCAACTAGGGTAGGTATGTTTCAGAAATTAACATTAATTTTGTAGAAAAATCCAAGCAAATAAAGCATTAAACTATCTACTTCTATGCCACACCTTTTGAACGAAAATTTTATAATACTAGAATTGATTCCAGAATGCTGCACAAATTGATTAGGTATGGCATATTTAGGTACATACTGCAGAAATTGATTTGGTATGATTAAGGGCAGTGTATCGCCCTTCCAGTATTGCCTGGGCAAATTAAGATGCTGCAGAAATTGATTAATACTAAAGGTAAACATTCAATAGACTTCTTACGTTACAGAGACGTCGTCGCAATCGAGTGACGTCGAAGAGCCCGTGGCCGTTTGTTGTCCCAAGCGCCCTTCTCTTCGTCTTTCATCGCCGACCAAAACATCGTACGTCCTTCCCGACGTACCCTCAGCATCTGACGTCTCAACGCCAAAGCTAGAATGTGATCAGGAACAAAACGTAGACGTCAGTCAAGCCAAGAAACCGTCCAAGATCAGGAGACGTAACGCCGCCCTCTACGTCGGTGACGATGAGTGATCAATTTGTAACAGCAAATATGAGCGAATCGTACGTTTGCAAAAAGGAATATAATTACGAGGAATTGCAAGTTAACGAGAGAAGAAATTTCACGTGCGCAACAAGAGACGAAATTGTACGACATCAACGAAGGGAGAAAATCAGCCAAGTGAATCGAAGCTACTGCGAGGAGGTTGGAACTGGCCGCAATGCCGGCGCTTGTGTGAAGTAAAATGTGTTCAGCGAACGCGTCATGTTAAATATCCACTGCCTCTTTTATTGCACACCAAACAAGAACTGCTTAATGTTTTAAGTAGCATGCAATGGTAATAGGTACCGCGTCATCGTGCTAGCACGGTTCCTGTACCAGTACAGTGTTAAAATGCCGGGCCTGATGCTAGATTAATGGTGCCATTATCAGATGAATGATATGCCATCAGTGGGGCACGAGCTGGGGACTATCATCAGATGAATGATAAGCTATCAGTTGGAAGCTTGTGTGTAGACCAGCTCCTTCAATGCGGCGCATTACCCCGATAGTTGAGCTTAGTTCGCTCATCGTTCGTTATGGGGACCTGAGGTTCCCAAATTTCCCATACTTGTTCCCCCATCTTCATCCTCGTGCCTGTTCGGCACGGCCATTTGCTACCGTCACTGCAGGGGCAGTCTTCAGTGTTGCAGCCACCGCAGTTAATTTAGCCGCAGTTACTTTAGTCTATTGTCGCCACCGCAGTTACTATAGCAGTCAGGAACTCTCGTGGCGGACGAGTTGATACGAAAATATGGAATCAGGAGCGCCGTGCGGCAATATATGTAATGGAAGAGCTTTGTAATTGGGGAATCTGACAAGGCTTTCATTGGGCTTAATGCAGACTGTTCGCTCTGCACGTTGTCCAGCGCTTGTTATGTGCAGACTGTTTGCTCTGCACGTTGTCCAGAGTTTGACCAAGACGCTCGGGCGGTACTGGCCGGCTTGCGCTGAAAGGGAAACAAAAAATGAACGTGTGAAGGCTATCCATGCATAAAAGCTACGCAAATAATGATAAAAAGTTGTTAGTGATTAAAGTGGTCTACCGTAGTGGGAATTGAGGCCTTCTGCATGCCAACAAATGCGGATAAAAACTCATGCGGAAAATTAACGCGTGCGTGCGGCTGTTGGTAAACTCCTGCGTATCAGAACAGTTTACTTGTGATGATAAACTCGGCAATGAGACGAAGAAAGAATGAAAGATGAACGAAAAAAAGTAAAAAAAATTGTCCCTGAATAAAGTTAGGACTCACAACGATGATTAGGAACAGGAAATTATGAAGCGTTAAGAGTTATTTAAAACCAGACTAATAACAATATTAAAGTCGCGGATCTGGCGGTCTATGGCTGCCTACATTTTTTGGCACAAACGGTGATAGGCAAAGTCGGCAAGACATGGCCGGCAAAATAATTTTTCTAAGCCTATTTTCTACCTTTTCATCGCACCTCTATCGGCTAACTTTACATCATCGCAGCAAACACGTTCGCTACGCGTTTCATATCTCGGATTGAAATCGGTGCAGACCGGCAGCGCTTTGACTTTGAGTGCTTTTTTTGATTTGAACTAGTTTCGTTGAAACAATACAACGTTGATAACGAGTTCATTTCGTTGAAACAACTCAACGTTGATTACGAGTTCATTTCGTTGAAACAATACAAAGTTTGTAACGAGTTCATTTCGTTGAAACAACTCAACGTTGATAACGAGTTCATTTCGTTGAAACAATACAACGTTGATAACCAGTTCATTTCGTTGAAACACGAGGCAATCAACAGCTTCCAGATTTCTAAAGTGTTGCGGCCGGTATCGCGCAAACTGACTGGTGGGGTGACAATTCAAATCTCTGTGATTATTTCGCATAACATTTTGCGATGAATTTCTGAAGATCACCAAGCAATCATTGACGAAAAACAGCATTACTGCGAAACGACTATTATTAGTCGACTTCAATGTAAATTAATTTAGGTATAAGTTGGAAACTTGTCATGCCAATAATTGCTGTTGAATGTTAAACTTTTTGGTTACGGAAGCGTTATCCGTCGTCAATACTATTAGTATGGCAGGAGCTGATATAGAATTTACCGTCAGTAGTCACAGAGTTTTAAGATCGTAATCGAAGAAGTACATTAAAAGGGAAATAATGGAGCGGCAGAAACAAGAGTGACAATCTCAGTTGCATAGCAACAACTGCGTGAATAAAGATGACGAAAAATACAGGAAAGGCAAAACTCGCAACAATATCTACAGCTGAAACAATGATAACAACAACAAATCCAGAGACGACAACAACAATGAGAAGGCATGACGCCGCGCGTTCCTCTCGAGCACGTCCGTGATGTTATCCCGCAGAGGGAAAAGAGCTTCCCCGTAAGAATAACCCATAAACGAACGACTGGTTTATAAGCTTGTATGGCGGATTATCGATTCATCACTGTGGAAAACTGTAGACGTGATATTATGTTTGTAGGAATAAAACGGAATGCAATAAAGGTCACGGAATAATTTTTGAGCGGAAAATCAATCCATGAGCTGCATTGATATTTGAATTATTTATACCTCGTAGAAATATCACAAAGATGGTGATAAAGGATGTTTGAATTCCTGAACGATAAAGAGATCGGAATAACTCAAGCAGCGGAGAAGTGATCCGTCTGGCGTGATGGGTGCGTAAATGTGATCGAAGGTTACCATCATAGCATAGCGGCGGAGAATTGATCAGTTTGTGGACTGCTTCTCTGGCATACTTTGCTATTTAGCGCTGCAGTTGGCGGGCAACTTTTTTGACCGGCCCTTTCAGGGTGATCTGCCGGAGCCCGACTGATGCTGCACGTATAGTACTGCTGCTGCTGCTGCTGCACGTATAGTACTGCTGCTGCTGCTGCTGCTGCACGTATAGTACTGCTGCTGCTGCTGCTGCTGCACGTATAGTACTGCTGCTGCTGCACGTTTAGTACTGCTGCTGCTGCACGTTTACTACTGCTGCTGCTGCACGTTTAGTACTGCTGGTGCAGCACGTTTAGTACGGTTTAACTAGTCGGGACTGCAGCACTGCAGGCACAGCAGCAGCTCTGTGCGATCACAATTTATATCCGTTGAGGGGAATTATTGAGTCTCAGTTTAGCAGCACTGCGTGCAGCAATAGCACTGCGTGCAGCAATAGCACTGCTTGCAGCAATAGCACTGCTTGCAGCATTAGCACTGCTTGCAGCAATTGCACCATTAAAATTTCCTAAAATGTAATTGTAAATTATATTATTTTTATATTTTCGACTTTCTCCGGTGCGTGCACGCCTACTGAAGATGAAAGCAGATGGTGCCAGCTCGAGCATGGCACCAACTGCCACAAAAAAGGTAATTCGCCAGCATTTTATTTGCTTATGAGAATAGTGAACGTTAAATAACTCGAATGATCGTTAGGCGAATATACAAATGCAAATTATTTTGCGAATTTTACCGTATTGATTACATATAAGATTGAAGTAACACCTTCGTGCTTCTAGTGATGTTTGTGGCACAGGTAGAATATTTCGCCGGCATTTTATTTGCTTACGAGAATAGTGAGCGTTAAATAACTTGAATGATCGTTAGGCGAACATATACAAATGCAAAATATTTTGCGAATTTTAACGTATTGATTACATATAGGATTGAAGTAACACCTACGTGCTTCTATTGATGTTTGTGGCATCGGTAGAATATATGAAAAATAATTGACGTCAAATTATTGGTATTGGACTTTATCATGGGATATAAGCGATGTATCTATTGCAGGTGGAACTGGAACTGCCGTCTATGTTGAGAACTTCATATTCCCGAGCAAAATTCTGGCGCCACTCATATATAATGACCTATAACAACGAGCTATCACCCTGCATTATATTATCATCAACGACCTCGCTCCTAATCTACCTTTATCTACGAGATCTACCGCGTCAAGTCGTGCGTAGAGCGGCGTAGAAAACGACACTCCTAGCGCTGCTCAACATGCCTTGGGATTAATTAAAATCCCTGCAATTGCCTAACACGCGCTAGGATTAAAATCTTAGCTATTATGAATACGCGCTAGGATTGAAATCCTATCAATCAGTAATGATGGTAACGATCAGTTAATACAGTTAATAGTTGAAGTTAATAGTTGCAACAACGTTGATTCCGAGTTTATTTCTTCGAAACAATACAACGTTTAATCGACGTTATTTCTATGTCAGACGCGAGATAAGATACGCCTTGTGTAGTTTTTTTCCTGTAAACGGAGAAAAACTGTACTCCTGTAAACGCTTTCCTGTACTACTATCATAATTAAGCGTTTTTAAGGCAAACGTTCGAGTTTTAGGCAAACTCGAAAGTCTCATGTTTACATGGTCAATAGCGCAAAACTAAAGTATTGGGTTTTCCACAATATTTTTCGCGACTGTTTATAATTCTTAAGTGAGGAATTGAAATTGTAAATTCTATATAATTAAGGAAATCTTTCCGCCATGAAAAGGAATGAGAAAATTATTAAAATTATTGCAACGTAGAGGTTTGTGAATAACAAATATAATTTTTCGGAAACTATGTCCCTAATATTTCCATACAATTTATTCATAATTTAAATACATAAATTGAAGAACATTAAATTTAAATTTGTATGAACTAGCTTATGAAGCCTGGTATATCTGAGGCAGATTTTAGTGAATAATCACCCAATACTTTTATGCACGAGTGGATAAACTTGTGCAATCTCGATTTTACACGGGCCTAGACAATCCAAAGAGGTAACTAGTTGGTTAATCCGTGTAATCTAGGACTTGCACCATACGGTTCCGTATAATCTCAGACCTAAACCCTTCAGTTACGCATTTTCTCGGACCTAGACCGTAAGGTTCCATGTAATCTCGGACCTATAGACCACACGATTCCATATAATCTCGGACGTAGACTAAACGATTCCGTATAATCTCGGACCTAGACTATACGGTTCCATATAATCTCGGACCTAGACGATACGGTTCCGTATAATCTCGGACCCAGGCTATTCGGTTCCGCCTAATCCCAGTTCAGGATTTTACGATTCCGTATTATCCAGGACTTATGGAGCATAAGGTCCCATATAATCTACTATCTTGGTCTTAGATTATACGGTTCGGAATCATCTCGGACATAGACCATCAGGTTATATTTAATCTCTGCCATAGACCATACGTCTCCGTATTATCTAAGTTCAGATG